TTGTCTTTTAAATTTTACTCAAATAGGTTATTGGTATTTTAATAAGACTCCAAGATATGGTGAATAATTTAAATTACAAGTGTTCTAAAATGTCATCAAACATTTTTTTTCATTGTGTAATATATATTTTTTTGTTGATGGTAACCATTACATTTTTAGTGTTTTTTATGTCATAAAATCATTATTTAATGGTATCATGATCCAAGTCTTAGTTAACACCAACAAATATTATTTTAATAAAAGTTTTGTCCTATAAAGAACAACAACAACAATAATAATAGTTCATGTTTAAAAATATTCTAAGTTAATAAACCACTTAGGCAACTAATAACTATGTACAAATTAGTTCATGTTAGTATATAAATATAAATTATTATAACATGTAAATATTTAAATAATGTATTAAAAATGAATGCTTATACTGATTGCTAACAAACATTATATTCAAGCAAATAATCATATTTTTGTGTATCCATTCATTATTAGTTAATATTTCATACTAAGACAAGTTTTGTAAATAACTTTACTAATTTATTTTTAAATGTTTAATAAAAAATATATGCAATAGATATGGCCAAATTCATGAATATTAGGAAAAGAAAATGTTCTACCTACCTATTTTAGCTAAGACAAGAAACCAGTATTCTTAAATGAGTAAATAACCTAAATATCTCATTAAAATGTTCTTGGCGCACTACAATCTTAAATAAGGTTAATAATTTATAGATATCTCTTAAACATAATATACAATTTTATGATAAAATTATTTGAATTAATGAATTTATTTTAAAAATCAATTAAATTTAATAATATAATAGTACACACATAGGACAGTTTTATTGCTTAATATTTTAGCTAAAATGTATAGAATAAATGTATAGCAATGTACCTTTTAAACAAGTTTATAAATAATATTATTCTATGACACAATGAATTTGATTCATCCAGTACCTATATATTATGAACGTTTTATTTTTGTTACTTAAATATGCATCATTTTAAACAAAGTACTACATTTAATGTAAGATACATTATAATACAAATTAAATGTATAATATTTATTGACTATAATAAACATTTTTTACTTTTACTATGAAAAAGTAAATATTTTCATTGCTGTAAGACGTTTTAATTAATTTATATTACAAACATTCAGATTTCTAAATATTTAGTAAATATGACTACTATAATATTATAATATTGTGTGGTGTGTTGAATCTTACTATTTTGTATTTACCAAGGATTTAACATAATAAAGAGTTTGTCTAAGACTACAATGTCAAATGTTAAGACCTTTATAATCAGTCATTGAGAGTAAGATAAGAAAATGTTTAACCGTCATTTAAATGCATAGACTTATAGAAATAGACGTTAGGTATGATAAAGCGTGCAAGTAGGTGGAGCTCGTTTCAAAAATCGGGGGCTGTTAAAGCTGTATATTGGCTGTCCTCGGAATAGTCCCACTTCTCTCTTATGATAAAAGTCAAGCTATCTCTTAATCTGTTTGGAACGACCACGCCTCCCAATCCTCGGAGCAAATGTTCCATCTATTTCTACAAGTCTATGTTTAAATGGTATAAATTGTGATAAGTCTCTACAAAAACATGTAATCTCAAAAATAACTCACATTGCATATGCCAACACCTCCATATTAAGTTGTTTAAACGAATTTTGTCTTTCCACCTTAAACGAACTCCTTTGAAACGATTCCATTTAGGAGAAGTTAGTTTGTGTCTAAAATGCAAAAATCAAAATTGAAATGCTTTCAGTATAGTATATCAAAAACACCAGCTAAATGCATTATTAATTAATGGCTAAAATATTCAGCTCAATAAATATCAATCAGCAATTATACCTGTTTATTTTAATTATTATCAAAGGAAAAATTGATTTAAAACAAATTTAAATAGAATTATAATTTTTAAGACTTTAAAATATTTTAAAAATACTAAGTTTATCAATCGCTTGTTCCTAAAATTAATTGATAATTCTGTAAATGATAGTTCTATAAAAATTAAGTATACTTAAATTATTAAAAATAATGTACCAAATACATTTAATATACTTATTTTTAATTAAAATTAAGTTTAATTTAATGAGACCAAAATATGTAATACATTTTTATTGATATCAGTATGATTTTTGACTGAAGTAAAATATTTATTTTGTATTAGTAAAATACAAAATTGTGAGGAAGCTTAAATCTTAAAGATAGGTAGATTATATCAATATTTGATCAATAGTAATGGCATTTAAATTGTCCATAGCTAAATTATAATTTAATTTATAATCAATAATAATATATAGCATAATAATGATTAAAATAAAAATTACCTTGATATAACAAAAACCATTTTTTTTATTTATAAATATATATAATTAGAGTACTGAATAAGTGAATAAAAATTGTTCAACCTAATTTAAAGAACTTTGAACTATACAAATAATAATTATTATATATTGTGCAACTATGTTTGATCAAAATATAAAGTAATTTATGATTTAAGAGGTTTTATATTACTGAACATCATCATCTTAATATTAATGCATCATTTCAGTTCAAATGTGTGTATGGAACCAGGGTCTTATTTACGACTTGAGGAACCAATTACAAATAAATTACAAATAAAATTTGTATGTAGAAAAACTCTCAAAAAAAAAAAATTAAATATAGTGCACACGGACTAAATATAAAGGAAATGTCACAATGCTTCTTGTATTGACCTCATATCAAATTGAAATTGTAAGATAAAAATATTATCTTGAACCCCAAAAAGAGTTTTTGTTTTAATTTTGAATCAAGCTATGAGAATTTTAAAATAAGTATTTATAACTTACTTCAAAATTAAAACATATAAAAAGTAAAAACCAACATTAAGCCATAGATAATATTTTTACTGTTTAATATGTCAATTCACTAAAATATTAAATTTAATAGAGTAAAATGGATTATTCTGAATGTTAAGTTTGGTATGTTAAATGTTAATACGACTGAGGCAATATAATATATGTCTACTTAATAAAAATGATTGTCCAAACAATAAGCAAAATAATAAAAAAATAATATTTCAACATAAAATGATTGAATTGTTGTAATTAAAAAAAAAATGTTTAATACTCTTTAATTATAGCTAAACAATTATCAGCAAAACACACAATTCAAAATTAGTTGAAGTATATACATATGTTTATGTCAAAAAGGCCTGTTCAAGTGTATTAGCCTAGGGTAAAAGCTTCAACCACCCCGTACAAAGATACTGCTGTATGAAATATAAAAAACAAAATAAAAATTAAGTTTTATTTAGATAAACAAACAATATATTCTTTATGTATCAATTCAACAATTGAATATCAATATTATTCTCGATATTATTTAAATAATTATCGGTTGAACAAAATTTGAAGTTTGAAAAATATTAATTTAATTTTATACATTGGAAAACAGTTATCAAAATTCAATATATACGAATATGAAACATGATAAAATATAGATAGACCTAATAAAAAGCTATTATTTACATAATTTACTTAAACAATATGTTCTTGTGGTGTATGTCGTCTTAGTACCCACTATTTGGAATATTGAGTATAACAATCATAATAAAATATATCTACCATATAATAAGTTAGAATTAGTGTTACTTGTTATTATTATAAATATATAATTTGTGTTTGATGTTCAATTCAAATGATAAATTAGATATATTTTTAAAAATTGTTCTGATGATTAATTTATTATTTTAAAGGTTTAAGATGCATTACCTAATACTTGTACACATACTAAAACTGTACAATAAAATAAAGCAAGTGTTTGAATAGATACTAACTATAATAAGTTAATGATTTGATTAATGTATAGTTTACCTGTAAGCGACAGACATGCATTGGAAAAGATTATTTAATGAAGTTTTTGAATTATTGATGTCAGCCCGTGTCAGTATTTCTTCGGACACGGGCACGGCCACTTGATACTCGTCGTCCTGGGCTTCGGCCTCAAAACTTGAAACCATAAAATGTCCTGAATGTATGGTCTCCTTGATGGCGTTCGTCGTTTGGGGTAACATAGTCACGAGTATAAATCGTATTTTTATTTATTATTCAAAACCACGTCAGTCATGTCAACACAAACAGTATGGGGTAAAAACAAAAAAAGGAAAAAAAAATCGGTATCGACGGCAGCTGCGACGTTAGGTGTTACATATTATTATTATTACATTGGCGCGCGTCGTATTCATCAACAGTCATCACACATAAAACATAATAATATAATATTCTACTACAAAATAGCTGATAAACTGACTAATGACCGGGCGTCTAGGCTGGTAAGTTTGCGTAGCGTTCATGCCCGACGATTAAACGTGTTTGAACTCGTTACGCACGTTCGACGTACGGCTAAAACGTTTCTCAAAAACATGGCATAGGTTTTATGATTATTATAATATATTATCCTAATAGGCAATAAAACGAATAATAACAATTTCCGTGGTACGTATATCGTTTTGTGATACCCGCCGCCGCTGCGGACGGTAAATTTCATAGAGTAATTACTCTATGGTAAATTTTCATAGATAACAGACACACATGCGCGTTTTTGATTACGGTAAATATAAAACACCTGTTGTGCTACAACTCACTACACTCGGTCAAAGAAAACATAAACGATGTCAATACCTATGTCATTGAACCGTTCGAGTTCTCGCTTTTGCACACGGCTATAGATATGAATGGTTGCGCGACGGCATATAGCGTGTTGCAGAAGAAAACGGCGTTATATGTTCTTATCAAAAACCTCTAGATTACTAGCGCTTTTAGCGGAATTTGTGGTGTACCATTAAGTTGTCATATTATTTTTCAAATCCCGGGTTTTTTTTCAAATAAAAGTTGGTTCATACATAAATATATTTATATATTATGTACCTATTATAATATACATTTATTTGATTACATTTAACCTATTTTGTGTGAATATTAATATTTAATGCAGTCTAATTACTATTAAATATTATATAGGTGTATAATAATAGTTGTTTTATTAAATACAAAATATTAATAATTACCTACCTATTAACTGTTATTACTAATCACAAAATCAATAACTTTATAATCTCTGTGTCCTGCTATAAGTCATATTATGTACTATGTACAATGTAGTATGTGTGGGCACCCGCACCCAGCACACTGCACAGTTCCAGTGCACAATTCCAGAGTACGTTGCAATTTGCATAGAGGTGTGTAGTTCATGAACTATTTGATTCAAAGAGTTGAATATCAAAGATGAGCTGAATGAGTTAAATCAGAGTGAGCCAAATCGGCAACTCACATGACTTTGACTAGTGTTCCACAGTTAATTTCAAATAATTCAGAATTGACACAAATTAATTTACAATTCTACGAAAAATGACTTATGCATATTGTATCTTATAGTATAATGATATTCATATGAAACTTTGCGAGAGCTATGATTTAATATGATTTAGTGCCTCGGTGGAACTATATACTATATAGCCATAATTATAGGTATATATAGGTATATTATAGGTAATTGAGAATCGTTAAAAGAATTGAGAATTGAGATTAGTAATTCAACTCATTCAAGTGAAGTGAAGGTGAACCGAGTTGATTGATTAGGTAGACTACAAGTTCCGCTGAAAGCGCTAGCAGTCACGAGGTTTTTGATAAGAACATTGCACGGTCAAAAAATTTTCATCGTCGTGCAACCATAGTATCTATAGCCGTGCTTTTGCATACACTCTCGACTTAACTACTCGAGAGCCTTAATATTATGTAAGAATTAGATCATATCTCCATCGTGCTCTCAACACTCAACAACTCTCAAGTACCTATATACTATATTGCAATTATTTTATTATTATTATGTATACAGTATACCTACTCTGACGGCCGACGGGTACGGGCGTTGGAGAACTAATTATTAAGTACATATACCACGATTAAAATATATCTTTAATCGCACTAAATACTAATCACTTCTCGGCAATCAGTAGGTAATCATTAAATAAATAATTAGCTATAATTAATATAACTCTCAACTCTGGACTCTCAAATCCCAACTGTGAAACTTCCCTTCAAGATAGTTTTAATATTACACTACAGGCACTAACCACTGTATTCTATTCATAATATTATTGAACACAAAAACATATTGTAAGTATTAGAAATTCAAATGACATTAAAAAAAGATAATTATTGTTTTCATTTTTATTTATTTTGTATTTATGTGTTGCGATACTAACTTTACTATTTTAGATACACGCTATATATTATAATTCGCTAGGTCGAACAGCGATGTACCAAGAAATTAGTTTACGTCAGATCGCAAGAACTAGTCGTGCTCTGCGGCTCTGCCTAGTATTTATAGACAGTTATAGTAGTACCTAAAATGTTCTAACTTCTGAGGTAATGTGCCATGTGGTATCAGTATTTCAGAGGGTAGATGGGATGAAAACATTTTTCAGTCCCGTGAATAAAAATTGTTTGCTCCGCCACTGACACTTTATATGTATAATTTTGTTCTGTGAGCGTTTAAGAATAATCGCTGTAATTTTTTCCCAAGCAGGCGCTATTCAAATATAGGTAATACAAACCGGAGAATTTGATCAGCTGTATTGTAGTAAGTCGTCATTAAATAAGTAGAACACTGACACACTGCACACTATAGTATCTGACGTTTTAAATTTGAATTCAATGACAAATCATATTGAATACCTATGAAAAAAAGATTATCTGAGTGGAGATGGTCGATAGCCTATATTTTTAATGATATTTTATCATATATTTATATTACTACGAGTAAATCGTTTTTCATTTAGTAAGATGGAAATAGGTAGTCGAACAAATTTTTGTAAACAAAAATCTCATTTATTAAATCATTAATAGTCTTTAAGAATTTGAGACCATGTAAACAAGAAAACAAAAGGAGGATACCACTCTCATGTACAGTAGGTTGCAAGTGGGTTACTGTATTGAATTGTGTTAAATTTGTATCCTGCAATGATATAATATTGTCATTGCATACCTGCAAATATTATGATCTTGAGCAGAGACGGTCGGTCTTTCAGTCAGGCTATATCAATGAAAATATTTTTTTTAGATTTTTTGGTGACAGTATGAACTATCTACTTATTTCATACCTTGTTTTAAATTTTCAATCTCTTACTATAAAACTAAAAATATGTATACATTTATTTCAAATTTAAAACTTTAAAAATGCCTAAATAAAGAATCGTATTATACTACTATTATATCTTTAATATATTGAAATTGTTATAAAAAAACTTACGAGGAACATTGTATTTAATTTTCAAGCTTTTTGATCCAACAAAAAAATATTTATAAATAACTCAAAACTGGTCAACATTTTTTGAACATTTCATCATGTATAGAAAATGGTAAAATCAACATCTGTTGAAAATTCTAAGTATCTACATTCTACAGTTATTCATTTTTGAATTTCAACTAGATACAAAATTGTTCAATAATAATTCTGTAATTAAAGGCTGAAAACTCAATGTCGATAATAATTTAACTTCAGACGGACATAAAAAATTAGTTCGACTTTCCGGCATTTTTTTTTGTTAAAAGCAATGATACTAGTGAAACTTATGAGAAATCTTGAATTAGATTTTAAAATCTAAGATATAAATAAAAACATTTTTATGAATTTATAACTCAAAATAATAATGCAAATTTTCGTGATTTTGACGAATTTTGTCATTTTAACTTCAGACTCGCATTAAAAATAATTGCAGATTTATCCTCAAATTTTTTTTAAATTTCCATTAACAATAACTTATGAGTTACTATGAATAAATTTTCAAGGATTTTGAACAAATGAAAATTTTTTTATAAACAACTAATTAAAATCGAAATTTTCATATTCCTATAAAATATAAGTAGCTCGAAGTCAAAATATTTTTATAATTTAATGATGTATGAAAAGTATTAATACAAACATCTGGTAAAAATTTAAAATATCTATGGTTGTTAGTTTTTTAGTTAAAACAAAAAAACTAAATCGATTTGGCCAAAAACCGGTTTTGAGTAAAAATTCCTCTTTTTCCTTAATTTTTTTTTGTTTTCACTACGCGTTTGAAAGTTTCTAGACATTTTCTATTCGGCCCCTTAAAGTACCAACTAGATTCACTTTCCCATGTTTAAATGTTTTAGTGCTTAAGCAACCAAAACTACCCCCTGCATTTGTGCTATAAAACCCAGCGGTTACACGATAGCTTCGTCAAAATTTGGCACTTCATACTTATGATGCCTTTATTTATCAGATGTGATTCCCTAAGATCACCAACTGGATTTTTTACCAATTCTTCTAAGACATATTTGGAATATTGGATAGTTAGGTCTTTAATCCTTATTAATGTATGTGTTCCTATTATAGAATCAATCTTTATTGTTAGGTATTTATTGTCTGACAAATCGTTCGGGAACCGTTGCGTGGCAACCCTCGGAGACGTACACACTACAAATATTATGAATGATACTATTTTATTATGATTATATAATCTGGTTAAATAAATAATATAAGTTCTACTAGCCATGTACAAAGGGTTAACTCTCACTATTTAGTGTGAAACAATATTTTCTATGATGCAAAGTATTAGAAAAGTATTAGATTGAAGACGATCGCCATACACAATATTACCGCAAGTTTAAAATAAACGATCTAATAATTAAATGTAATTAATTTGGCCACACGCACAACTCGTTTCTCAAACCATGGATTTATTTGAGACATGGGAAGATCAAGAAATCCAATTCGATTTAAGTATTAGGTAGGTAATTTTTATTTAGGTACCATCGTATACTCAATTTAGTAGTTAAATAAGTTTCAGTCATTTTTCTTAAAATTATTTATAAATAAATTTCCTAATAGGTAATATTATAATATTATATTATTAGCCGATGCCACTTCATGGGATAATTAATCACACAAAAACAGTATTTCATATTATAATTAAAAAAATTTATTTACCTCAAAATGTATTAAAATTACGTTTTTTTTGTTCAAGCAAAGCGTTGAAAATGAGAAATGGAGAAAAAATAATAGATCGTCTAGAATTTATTGAAGATACAAAAGGAAATAGTGGTGATAAAGGAGTACTTGTTATTACAAATTTGAGAGCAATCTGGCATTCGATGACTTTAGCCAGAATAAGCTTATGTGAGAAAAAGTATACAATACCTACTATAGTAGTATAAAATTTATCATACTACACTCATAAATATGTAATTTATTATATTAATATTATTTTGTATGCACAATTTATAATATTCTATATAGCTATTGGCTACAATTGTATACAGGATATTTCTACAAGAATAGTGAACTCGGTAAGCGTTAAAACACTTGTTGGTGTGCAAGAAACCAATTTGCTTAAAAATATTTATATATTTTAGAGATTAAAAGGAATAACAGAAGCAATTTATATTCAAGCTAAATACAATGGATTGAGGTACGAATTTGTTTTCACAAATTTGATACCTGGTAATACAAGGCATTTTACATCATTTATAGGAGTTTTCAAGTATGCAATTACAAAAATATTTTTACTCTAATTTATAGTATCCAAAACAGTTTGCAATAAATTTGGTTTCAGAGCTTATAATTCTAGTAGACTTTACCGAGAATTAAAACTTAGGGGAGCAATATTAAAGAATGGGCGTTTAAGGCTATTGATGTTCGAAAAAATGTATTCAGCTGTTAATGGCGTATGGAATTTATCTAGTGAACAAGTAATCAGTTATTACTTATTATCAATAAAAACTTTTATTTTTTCAAAATGTATACACATGATTGTTATTATATTAAGATTTCTACATAAAATATATTTATTACCAGGGAAACTTGGGAACATTTATGATAACAAATATTCGATTAGTGTGGTATGCTGAAAGTAATGAGACATTCAATATATCGCTTCCATACATTCATATAAATTCAGTATAATAAAATTTTTTTTGTAAAATAAAAATAAAATCTAATTTAATAATTTCTGGACTAGATAAAAATTAGGGAATCCAAATTTGGTGAAGTGTTAGTGATAGAAACAAATGGTTACAGTGGAGGCTTTACACTTGGATTTCGAATAGATCCCAAGGACCGATTACGATCAGTTACTAAAGAACTATCATCATTGTTTCGCATTCATGCTCAAGCGCCAGAATTTGGAGTACATTTTGTTACTACCGAACAGGTTCTTTTTTGTTTTCAACATATCTATTGCATACTTATTAAATTATACTAAATATATTTTAGGTAGAAAATAATGAACCCATAACACTACAAACACTCCCAAACTATGATGAGTTTGAAGACGAGAATACAATAGGTGTTTCAAGTACTTTAGCTGCATATAGTGTAAGTAAGACAGGTAAAGAAGATGGACTACCACAGTATGATTCTTCATTAGGTTTAGCCATTGAAACATTGCCAGATGGTTATACAATGACATCTTTATGGGAAGTTATACCAAGTACCAATAATAAATAACACATAACTATTAAAAATGTCTTATATTTTAAGTGAACAAATTACAGTAGCTTTTAGTATTTAGCTTTAGCATACCAATCTGTATGAAATATAACGTCCAGCAGTTTCAGAATTTCTTACAATTTTTACTACCTGTGAACAAAAAATAGATTTACTTAAATGATTTATATTAGTTTTATTCAAGATAACAGATGTGTACTATTAATTTTTAACGATAGTGCTTGAATTACTATAATGGATACTGGTAATTTGTAAGACCACTAAAATGGCATATATTAGTATTTACTTAAAACCCTGTCGCAACTTTTTTGTTTTCACACTATATAAATATATCTTTTTATTAATCGCCAATTGGTTTATGTCAAATTATATTATTTAATAGGATGTCAGATGTTTGTGAATTATTTGTTTTTTCTCTCTGACACAAGCGCAACATAGCACATTTACATTCAGCAGAACTAAATTTGTGTTGTTAGCTTTCATTTAAAAGATGCAAAAACAAAGATGATGTTCTGAACTTTAAGTTTAATGATAAATGGTAAATTTACTCAATACTAAAGCTAATAACACTGGGTTGGTTTTTTTGAACGCCAATTTGCTATGTTGAGGGTGGATCAGAAAAAGAAAAATAATTTGTGCTGAAATCCTTTAAAGGTATATTATATAAGATATTATAATTGTTATTGTGCTATACAATGGTAATCAAGTCATGTCTATGTTGAACAAACGACTATCAGTGATTTATAAAACATATCAGACAACTGTTAGTATATTTATTATTTCGTAAGTAACGAAATAAATGCCAAACTGTTCGCAAATTGAAATACAAATGTAAGAGAGTTTTTTTTTCTGATATATTACACAGTCTTAAATTTTTTAATAATGTATCTTAAATATTTTGTTCAAATAGACCGACCTTTTAAAAATTATACCTTAACCTTATAAGTATGGCTACACTACATCTGTTATCATATATTATATTAAAAATATTATGTTCAATCTTACTTGTCCTCTTTTTAAGCCGAAGTAACGAGAAACTGGATCACCTACTTGAATTCTCATAAGCTGATTTTCTTTTAATTTGCTGATTTATTTCAGTTAAAGAAAATAAGATACATACAAATAAAATTGAAATAATAATATGGTTTATTAAAAACAAATACCATACAACTTCTCACCACAGCAAACATTCTAATAGACAAGAATTAGTGTTACATGAGGTAATATTAATGGTATTTAATTATAATGATTATAAACTAATGTAGTAATGTATTACTATAACCTATACCAAACTTGCAGTAAAATTATTATATGTTCACATTCCCTTATATAATCAAGACCGTATAGGGAAGCAAACATAAATATGATTCCTCTAATTTATTAAATGCTATTTTTTACAACTACATAACTTAAAAAAAATTGTATACACTAGTGTAAATGGGTGTAGTTACCATACACTAATAAACATGTAAAGAATGAGCGCCTTCATACATTTCCACGTTAAGCATACACTCAGTTTGTGTATTTAAGTAAAAAGCATTGTTCTATTCCTGGGGATTGCAATCCCAGAGACAAGGGGTATTTGTAGTGTTGGTCTGAAATAATTAAATACATGTACAATTGTTTTTAGTATAACTAATACTAGCAAAACACACTTAATATCGTTCTTCTTGTTTCCAATAATATAAATAGTATTTAACTGATGGGAATTGTCACAACACAATAACACACAAACAAAAGTAGATATTATCTTGTCAATAGATGTGGAAACTACAACCAATGACTCTCCCCGGCCATTCAAGTATAGATGGTATTTAATTAGACACATTCAAAATGTTTACTTTCCGTAGCAAGTGTATACTAGTTATTTATACAAAAATTGATAAAATATTTGCAATTGGTAAAACCAATAGTTACGTTAAAATTAGTATTTATTACAAGAGCTCATGATGACTGACTTTATTTTTGAACTATTTTGTGGGTTGTGATATTATAAAGAATAAGAATTGATGGTATAAGATTTATGACACTTTTACCCTCTCTCATAAAAATAAATTTTTAATCAGAAAAAGAGCAATAGAGTACAATGACAAACTCAAATTATGGCATTGGGGCCAAAATGTTTAAGTAAATGCTAGCAATAAAAATATAAAATATTCTAATGAATGTTACCTTTTACCTAGTATTTTCTACTCTCAATTTATTTGTATTAACAGTTTATCATACATACTTAACGCTTAAACAATAATGTAATTTATTATACCCAGCATACTACACAATCGTATAATTCAAAAAAGGATACTATCTGCACAATAGTTCTTGTTTCTCATCTGGTGTCAAAACTATGTGTTCAGGCACTAGTTCATGTTCAGTTATATTAATTAGAAGTTCTGATTCCAAAAACTGTTCCAATATGTATTTAGGAGCCATATCAACTAAAGACTAAAAAAAAAAAATTATAATCTGTAATGTTCAATACACATTTGTTATGTTAAATTACCAAGTGCCATTTATATTTTATGAAAAATTAATTTAAATTTTAAGTACTATTAATTATTATGTGAAGATAATGATTCTCATTATCTACACGTAAGTACAATTTTTTTTCAAAACTATTATAATTACAGACAAATTATTATAGTAAATGTACACATTGTTATTTGTATTATGAATCATTTTAATGATTTACATGTTATATAACCTACTAAATTACTAATTTTTTTGTATAATTGAGATTATTAAGAATCAAACATACTTGTTTTGCACTTGGAGTCATTCCTTGTTGAACAACAATAATAGCTCGAGTAATGGTTTCTTCTTGCATCCTTTGACAGTATGTTTTTATAGTTTTTATACCAATTTTTGGTTCTTCGGGAAAGAAAACAAACATTTGATCTGAAATTTATTACAGATTATTAAAATATTGGATGTTGTATAATTTGTTACTTGTTATACCTGTAGGATCGTCATTATGTGCCACAAGGACTATTAAATCACTCCGTCCGGGTCTTTTTTCACTGTAAAAATGACAGTTTATAGTATATTGTACATAATACATTAGAGTACATATAAGTATATTATATTTAAGTAAATTTTAACAAACCTAGGTTTATCTCCAAATTGTTCTTTAAACTGTTCTAATGTTTGATCCAATTCATCCTGCGTGACTAAATAACCTCTGTCATGGCAAAGCTATTATAAAAAACAATTATTCATTAATTAATGGTACTTTAAGATAATAGTACTTCCATTGGTATTCAATTTATGGATGCAGCATTGTATACAAATATGGTAAACCAACACAACTGATACCATTTTTAACCTCAACTTATACATTCTTTTCTTTCTAGTTTTAATGTTAGTTTATTTATTTCTCAGAAGCTTCTGTGTTAGTTAGAACCATAGTTTTCCTCTATGTTATATTGTCCTAAAATTGCTAAAACTGTATGTTTAATAATGATAGGATTGTCTAATTATAATATGTTTAATATCAATATGTACTCAGCACTGTTATACCTGGTTATACCTATTATCTATGTATGGTAGACATCCTAATTCTGTTAGCTTATTGATCTTTATGATTCTTTTGAAAAATTAAAATGTATTTCAATATAATATGTATGTCTATCACAAATATAATTTTGTAAGTCTGGATACATACTTACTCAAAATGTTGAGAGTTTAGGGTAATAGGCTAAAGAACAAAATAAAAGGCAATCGAAAACTCATTGGTGCATGTAAGATTCATAATATTAGGTATGTGCATTTTATTGGAAACAAAAATATTCAAGTAACAGCATTTAGTTTACTCAAATTATAAAACACATTGTGCCCCCTTCACAAACATTTTAGGTAATAAAAAAGTACTATCGTAATAGGTATCTACATGGTAATAGTTAATTTATGTTTTGAATCATTGTTTCATAGTACAAAAAAAAAAATTGTAATACTAAATAGTTCTAAATACTACAAATTGAATTTTTGGTGTTCCGAATACCGCAGTTTATAGGATACAAATTACACAGTAATAGCCAATTATTCCGTCAATTGGAAAATCAAGACCATCTTGTCATTGTAAGTGTACATATTGGTGTAGTCATATAATTTCGTCTTGGTGTATATCTTACCTGCATAACAGTTTTTCGAATACGCCACAGTTTGTACGACTCACATAGTCACATTCGTCATCCATTTTGCAATTTTACTTAATATTTATCTATATCTCCTAATGGCCTAACCGAACACTTTGACACCGGGTTAAGATTTGCAAATTTCGGGGTTTATCGTTAGTTTTGAACACGAATTGAGATATTTATTCGTGGTGTAGATGTAGAACTACACCGTGGAATTACGGTTTTAATATTTATATTTTATAACTTATATTATTATCGTAGTAAAATGCGAGGTACGCCATATTAGATAATGTTATCTTCAAGTGTCGTACATATCAAGTGATAACAAGTTGCTAACTTCCATTACGTCCACGGTTAAGGCTCGAGCACAGATATCTATACTATACCTTAGTATAGATATCTGTGGGCTCGAGCTACATACAGTATAACACGATGTAGAGAATTTAATTTTGTTTGTGCATTTAATTTTAAACCAAATAATGTAGTGACACATTTTAAAATTGAACTGCCGGGAGGATTAATGCATAAAACTACAGAGCGAAAGTATCCAATTTTAAGACCTAAATCTATCCCATCAATTTTTCCAAACATCTCCAAATATTTAACTTCATCAAAACAAAAACGATCAGCACCATAACCACGTTGCTCAATTCGACAATTCCTACTATAAAAACTAAAATTTAAATTTACAAGAACCTAAGAATATACAATACCCTGAGTCACGGACATAGGCCATAGGGCTTACAGACTCAATACACAAAACTACCATAGATTTATAGACGACAAATATTTCAGAGCATAATTATGTTAGTTCACAAGATTAATTTGAGAATGCATTTTCCATGCAATGAAGCAAATTTAACTAGACAAACCAAGCCGAGTGTTAACACCTTGTCACCTTATCTTCTCTACACCGTGAGTTATAATATTATTTATTTATTCTGTAGTCTATGAAAATTATGTTTATGAACTCGGGCTGAGTGGGCTGACAGAACGCGACTTGCTACAGTGTACGGAAACGCAGGTTGAGGCGGTCAGTGTTCCGGTTATATTATTTTACAGAGATGGCGCAGTCAGACCGCTTTCTGTGTGCCGAACCCTTTGACCTAGGTATTTGCTATAACTTATAAGTATTCTTATTTTGAAATTCTACGCAGTCCGGTAAGAATTAAGTTTATTAATTATTTTTCATGAGCTGACGATGAGTCATGTGGGGTCACTTAAATCTAAATATGTCAAACGTTTTAACAAAATAGTACATAGTATTTAAATTTTATAGACGCGCGCGCGTGTCGGAACTATTTATTTTTCCTGGAACACGTCATAAATAATGCGGCAGGCGTCATTTTTCTCCTATAGGTAATACATTTCTGTACATAATATATTATAATATATATTATAAATTATAATAGCTTTTCGTAAATGAAATTTGTGTTGACAGCGTCAAGTTAATGTTTTAATATATTATTATAAACCCACAACAGTATTAGAAATAGTTTGCTTTGCAAACTGACAAATGACAATGCATGTTAGTGAGTTACATGTACAGTGTGTATGTGTCTCATGCTTGTAATTTTTTTGGAAAGAATACCATTTGGCTTACTAAATTCTTTTCGGACTGTACTAATAATTATTGAAAAAAATCGAACTTGTACACAATAAAAATGACAAATTAATTAGTGTTAAACCATCTGTAATTTTTTTTAAAATCTTAAACTTGATTATTAATGTTTTATTCCCATTGAGTTGGTAATGACCATACCTAATCCTGAAATATATATAAGTGAGGATAAAAAATATTCTTACGATTTTCTCCTCTCACAGAAGAGTCATAATAATATACTAACATACAGAGCGCTGCAGTGTTTGGCCATGTTTGTATCCATTTACAATATTCGTATGAAATATGAATATTAAACTACCTATTACATTAATTGGATATACATGTTAATTTAAAATATTTTTTGGTTTACTTTGTTTGGGACTAGGCAGTTTAAATAAAATCATTAATTTGCCTTCATGCAATTTGTATGAATCTAAGATAGGCTTTATCAAATATTATTAGGTATTTAAGTATGTACATAAAGTATCATGGTATCACTGGATATGTAGGTAAATTTTAAATATTTTAAAATTTGAATTATGCATTCCATTAGTTACCATATATTATGTACCTACTTTCAAGTAAAAAGCTTAAAGTACCAAATGAGCAAAAGACAATATGTAGTCTTGTAGGAGATCGGAAGACAAGATATAATCTTTATAAATTAGTAATTATTAAGTACCTTAATGATATCAATGGGCTTAGCCTTGGCAACCAAAAAGTGTTGAGACGCATTCATACTTTCACAGGCACGTTATTTACGTATACATATTACCATGGGCGTAGGTAGGAAATATTTTCGGAGAGGGTTTTTGTCTAAATCCTAAATAATATGCGAGTTAATAATATTCTCGAACAAATTCGGGGGGTGTTTGAACCCCCCCCCCCCCTTACCTACGCCCATGCATATTACATACTAACCTAAACTGAATTTTAATTGCATATTTAGGTATACCTACTTTAATACGGCCCGGTAAATGGTAATGAATAATAATTCATAATTCATATTTAATTCTAATTCAGAAAATTCAAAAACAATGTGCATATACATATAGCATACTATCATCATACTACGTTGTACGTAAAGTATATGGTAAAACGTAGCACTCCTATCGAACGACTTGCTCCTGGTGACAGAATAACCATGCGCTTTTCGTTGGTCTTTATTGTATACGGAGTTTGGTCTCCTTTTCTCTAATTTTCATGGTTTAAGCCGCGATTAAAGATAGTACAAGTCATTACGAGTTACTACCCATTTCTTTCCAACAAAATAAGAAAAACGAAAATTTGTACACATGATCAACTGATATGATCATTGCAAAAATAGAAAAGTTACCACATTTTACGGTAATATTGGCTCGTTATGTTCTTAGGATATATATAGGTACTACAATATGTGGTTCGAGAAGTTTCTATATTATATTCAGTAAATTATAATATAGTGTCATTTTAAAACACCGACCATATTTTTAAGCGACTTGTTGACACCCCTCCCTCACTTGCTTGCACAGAAGTACTGAAAACTCAACACAAATTTCAAACGATGCTGCGCCGTTACCAAATGCTTTTCTTCGCACATTCGTATAATAGACAATAATGCCTACCCGTTTCCGTTTTTCACGCGGTGCCGTGAACATATTTATTTGGATTTTGTACTGTCGCTTCAGTAACGGCATATTATTTGAAATAGCTACACAATTTTAGAAGCCATATTTCTACATGTCTGCACCTGCGGACAATGGGTCTGAAATATAATATAATAATTAATAATTATATTATGCTTAAATAGTTGAAAGCAAATGATACAAACTTATTGTTACCAACATATTATAATATGACTGTAATAATAATATAATATATGGTATAAATATAATATAAAATGGGTAAAACCTGTTGTCGACTAATATTTTGGATGATAATTTTGAGCTAACTATGGCTAAGTCTCACATATCCTATTCGCACCAATGATGTATTTTTGATGTATAATGATTAATGATTAATTGTGGGTCTCACTGCCTCACAAATACTTTTACACCTGAGCCTCAAAAACACCATGCGATGCGGTACTGAATTAACCGTGTATATTATTACCAAATAATGTAATGGACCAACCCAATTTTACAGCGGTCAGTGATAAATAAATAAGTTAAGTGAATTATATGATATTATTAGTTTGTATTAAAGTAATGCATCGACAATACAATATTTTTGGTACTAATAATTAATAAATACGTTCAAATTTAAGCTATTTTTTTTTTTATTACCACCTAATTGTAGTTTATTATTTTTTTCAATTCATAGCTCAGAGTTTTTCTATGGTGCTTATAATGTTTAATTTACGATCGGATTCTGATGGAGCCAGATATTTTCAATTTCATTCTAGTGGGCAAGGACTGGATTAATTTACCAAGGGGAAATTGCCATGTATATGGTTAGGAAAATGGACGCTATAGCCCATAAGACGGCAAATGGAAACAATTAATTTAATTAAAAGTCGTTTGAAAAGCCCTTGAAAAAATGATTTTGGGGATCCGCGTATTTTTTCTGTGACCGAAAACTTTTAACACAATTATGTGTATAGGAAACTCATAAACCATAATTTTTATGCATTTAAATTCTCTTGCCGTAATAAGCTACTATTGACATAACGTCAATAACTTTTGGCATGGATTTAAATCACAATCCAAAGATTTTAGCAAATATGTGTATTTTTTCAAGCGTTAGAATCTAAAGTAAAATGTAGTACATATCCATGATATAACCATTCAGCTCTATTGTATGATAATATTATATTTATTCACGCTTAATGCAATAAAATGCATTAAAAAAAAAAAAAAAAAATGCTGAACACATATATTTTTTGTTAATATTTTATAAAGTTGAGATAAATAATAAATTGATTGTATTATGCATTATCGTAACAAAATATGTAACTCTTATTAATTTTTAGTTCATATTAAAATTTATTTTGTGAAAATAATGTGTAAAATATTCTTGTTCAGAATTAATATGCATAACTAAGATGTAAACAATTATAATAAACACTATAAGAACATTTTTTTTTGTATCTAAAATAATATTATTTTATGGTCGATTTAAAAAAAAATATATTTTTGTTCTATTAAACATAGAAAAAAAATCTGTTTAATATCTGTTATATTAAAACCCGACTAGACTAAACGAGTACTTTAAATAAGTTTCTTATAATAAGTTTGTATTGAAATAGTGTATAATATGAAATATAATCGTTTTAACGCATTTCAAGGAAAATTATCATTATTTTTTATTTTTGATCAAATACGATGTACATACAACGATAAATGGAGTCTATAACAGATTATTTTTATCATTGGTTACAATGGTTTTTAATATTATAGTAGTGATTGCTAAAAATTGTTTTGTTAATAAATGTGTTGTATCCGATATAGGCGATATCGCAATAGCATGTATATACGCAAATGCTAAATAATAATAATATAACGATGACGCCCGAAAGTTCACGACACCAGGATCGGCGTCACCGGTTTTTACCGCGTTTTTATTTTCTGTTCCGGACGTTCCGGTACCCGGCAGTCGCGTGTTAGGGTCCGTCCGTTACGTGTTTTCGGCATTCGCGCTACCGTTGGCCAGTTGAAAAATCGCTATTGTAAGTACGATTGTTTGAACATAATTAACTTTGTTTTAATTTTTTTAATTTTTGGTATATTATACCGGTTTATATCTTTCAGTAAGCTATAGAACGTGAGTGATGAAATATTTAGATTCGACATCATGTCGAAAATAATATTAAAAAACAATTTCGTGTACCAACTTCTATTTTAATTCTGACGTCTGATGCATTAAAATATTACTTATGGAGTTATGTTTTCAATGAGAGTGTTATGTTATTCACAGTATTTTTCAAGGTTTAATTGTAATAGAGTAAGATATGATGTTGTGTCATCACAGTAAAATAAATGTTTTTCAAATAACAAAAAAATGTCAATTGAGAAGAAAAAGTATTGACTTAAAATGTGTTAAGTATTTTAACTTAGAAACTGTAAAATTGTGTTGGAGCATTTGATACGAAGCATCAACGATATCGGATATTTAGTGTATTATATAAAATTATACTTTCATTAAGTATATATTTTATTTATAGGAACATAAACACTTAACACTTAGATAGTAATTTTCAATATTAGTCAAATACTAAAGGAAGTAAGTACCTACTAATAATTAAAATTTAAGGTTTACCCCTTCAATCACGTGAACTTACATTACCTATACAATATGTTTTATTAATTAATACTTAGATATATGCATACCTATTATGAAGGAGTCAATTGCATTGATAATATTATTTTAAGTGAAGTTAAAAATTATTTTAAAGCATTACGTTAATTTACTATGGATAAATAGATGGGAAATATACTCAAATTATCTAAAATGTGAAAGATATTAAAGAGTATTTTATTCGTCCACACATAATGTATCAACATTTTATCAAAGAAAATTAGTAAAATGGTTAAATTAAAGTTTTATAGAAAGTATTACTCGTTAAAAATAAATATTATCTTCCATTATATTTCGCATTTCAAATACGTACGTATAATTTAAGGTTTATTGTGTTGCAATGAAATTCTTTGCTTTTAAAATTACACGACATTTAAGTTATCTTCTTTTAAAATTAAAAATAAATAATACTAATTAAAACAAAAAAACAATTAAGTACTTAAAAAGTCCACATGTGCATAATGTAGTTTATCTATATAACATGAGTTTGAAGTGGTGAAATGATTTTCTCATGAGGGGTGAGTCTGATTTTTATTTAAATTTTTTTTCATACATACATTTATATTTTATGTAGGTACCTAAACAGGTAATATTATTAAACATTTTGAAAAAAAGGTCATAGGGGTATTTCCCCTCACCTCCCTGTTTTAAAACTCTGCTTTATAATATAATATTATAAACCGTATACTAATTAGGTAATGACTTTCATAAACTCAAATCACGGCGTTATGCATAGGCAAAGTGTATGACTTATTGTTTCGAGGATAATAATTAAAAATGTTATTGATGTTTAGTTGCCTTTGAATTTATCAATGCCATACCAATTAACTTAAACGAATACGTATTTTTATTTTCTAGTTGCCCCAATCATTTTTATTTAATGAGAATATTATAAAAATAGGTACATTTTTTTGTAAATGACAGTGTGGTAACGGATTAGGTGCTTTTGAATGAAACCTTGTAAATTATAATTTAAATAAATAATAATTTAATTACAATTAAATTAAAATACAATACATATTGCTGTAAAAAAAGTTTTAGGGGGGAAACAATTATTCTTAAGTTAACATCGATTATGGATTTTGTAAATTTTTTGGGAGGTAACTTTCACACAAAAGTAGTAATTTTGTTTTCAAGCTATTTCTCTTGGTATATTATCTGTTAGTGTTGACATAGTAGATACTGAGATAACGTATAACTCAATATATGTTAAACTTATTTTATTTCAATTGTATATAGTGTGAAGAATTTACTTCCTTCATAATTTGACTCGATTTAATGCTATTTTGTGTATAGGTACTTATTTAATTTTTATTTGTGAACTAATCTACATTTATATATGTTTTTATGTGTACCTACATAATTTAATATTAAATTCTGGGTTTTCACTAATAATTGTTATGTTTTAGTATCCTTGATTGTCAATAGTCATTACTATTATGTTATTTGTATGCTAGGTTCTGAATAATCGGAAAACAGACATTTATACATTTATTGAATTATTAGTATATTACTATCACTATGTATCTTAAAACATTTTGAAAGATCTACGTTTTGTATAGAAAATAACATTTGTTTGATCTCTAAAGTGTACTTGAATGGTCTAAAAATATTGTAATACTTCAAAAAGTACCTAGCTGATTGTTGACAAAGGAATTCAGGATATCACGGATCATGAAATTTTGAAAATAAATAATGATATAAGATTACAGGTATGTACTATAATATTATAATGGTTTCTTAACTTGAACTCGTTAATTTTGCAAATATTTATTTATCCATTAATTTTGAATGGAATTGATATGAATGTAATACAATATATGATACTTAAAATAATTCTTTAATGAATTCCTAATTATACATTTAAAGTAATCAGGAAATAATGCCGTTGTCAATTTTGAATACATCTACAATCCGTTGTTTTAGGTACATACAGTTATAATATAATAACAGTTATACATTTATAATATATTAAAAGTGCTATATTTTACTTATTATATTGTTGGATTCATATTAGTATATAGTTCTAGCCGAGAGAAATTATGTTTAGATTACTATTGTTTCATGAATACAACATGAAACAATTCGTGTATCACAACAATAATTGTAAAAAAATTAAATAATAATTTCAACTACTATATATTTTTTACTTATTTAAATGTAATTTCAATGTTAAATCGTTTAGTATTTGTTATGCACCTACCGTGTCCTACACTGATATCTATCTAACACTCACTTTAAACAGAAAAAGTTAACTAAATCTATGCTTATAAACAATTTTATATTTTGAACACATATTTTAATAGTATTGTGAATCATGTCAATAGTTGTTACTTTTTATAAAAGAATAAATTACTGCATATAGACTAATAGTTTATTCTACTATTATCCAACAAGTTATGAATATTAAATGTACAAGTACTAAGAAGGTTTATTTTCAATAATTGTGGAGTGCAGCGCCGCATCATGCGTAGTATTCTAAACAAAAAAGAATTTGCACTATTTGTATAATATATATTTATATATGATTTACGAATACCGTAAAAATATAATTAAAGTTAAAAGAAATAAACTTAATACATTTAAGATTTTATTTTAATGTTTTCTAACCAGCTGTTTCATGTTTTTGTTATAATATATTTCATATTCTTTGTATATTGTAATTTATATATCATAGAAATATATTTCCCTTTTGAAAACTAAACTACCTATACTGAAGGTATTACCACTATAACAATATATACTTTTATTTATTTATTTATATAAGTATTTTGTTATTGGTTTTTTATTACCATATATAGCACATTTAATTGATATATAATCATAAATAATTTTTATATTGGCGAAGAATGTGAAAAATCGATCATTTAATTCTTTCACCACTAGAGTACAAAAATATGCTTTCCAACGTTAGTAATAAACAATATTGAACCATCAGATTATGTTTTATTGGATGAATAATAGATAAAATGTTGAGCTTCGTATCAATAAATGCAGGGTATAGCCATAAAATAGAGCTAATAAATTGTAGAATTTCGAACTCATTTAAGTAGTGCTGAAAAATGTTTTTATTGAAACTATTTTTACGATCTGTCAGCAGGGTATATTATGTACTCAGAATAAGGTGTAGGATGAACAATTTATTAGAGCCGTTTAATTATAATAAAAATGTGTCTCAGAAGTCTCAGAAGCTATTGGTTCAATAAAAACACCAGCAACAATACTGTGGATGCCATAATAATGAAATAACCCAAAAAATATTTTCGTTATTACAATATTATGTTTGGTATGCCGAGGAGAAAATATACAGAAGATAGGCGCACTACGTCATGTGTACACCAACACCCTCACTCCCTTTTATACCTTAATAATGCAGTTATTTAAATTCTGACTTTTAGAATTTGTTAGTACCCACACTTAAATATCAAATTTTCAAATATTATTAGATTATTATACATCTAAACAGGAGTGTACTTATGTCTTATACAATTTCTAAAAATCAGAATCTAAATAAATTGACTGCCTAAATATTTAAGGAAAAATGGTAGTGAAAATATGTAGGTATAATACCTGTACAATATGTACAAGTATAATGTACATATTTATATTTAACACTTATAATTTGTGCGATATAACGTTTTTTTTTAAAAGTATTTCAATAGGATTTTTATACTTTTGTAATAACATAATATTGTATTATACTGAGTTAATTACCCATGTTATACAAACATCAATTTTAAAACAATACAAGTTATAAACTTAAAACTTCTTTAAATAAATGTCCGATTAAAATATTATTAAAACGAGTTATTTTAGCGGTTTTCATATTTTTTTATTAGGTATTTGTGGTACCCATATATCAAAGCTATTAATTAATTACGTAACTTAATAATATTTTATGTATTTCCTACAATTTTAATTTATGTTATTTTTTTGGTTTTTTAGAATACAGAATTTACATTGATTATTTATATATTTTTAGTTAAAAAAAATTTACGGGTAGGTACTTAAAATGATATATTTATAACCTTGATGTGTCAACACAATATTTACTGTGTTTATATTATAATAAAAATTGAATTCATGGAACTAACGATAATTGAGCGAGTTGGATGCAGGGCTTATAGTTTCATAAAATGGCAAAAGACTCTGTGATTCCTTTTTATTTTGAGCGCTCCATGCAGTGTTGTCATGTACAACAAATTATTAGGTAAAGAAAAGGTTATTCATTAATTTCCAAAAAAAAAAAATTATCTTTTCACTTCGCTCAAAAACTAAATTGCTTTCTATAATATTAACAATATTAATATAATAGGTAGTATAACATCTAGTATATTTGTTTAGGATTTCATTGCATATAAAAGTTTCCTT